TAGTAGGTACTTGAGAAAGATTAGTTGCAAGTTGGTAGACATTATTATTTTTAGAAATAAATTAGATATGGAAGCTGCGACAAAGACATTGAGTAATAGCTGCTAGTTTGGGAGCACGGAAGAAGTGTATAGCAGAGTTAGTATGAGTAGATTTGGGGGCACAAGATAAGAGCTCTTGGGTTGGTGAGTTGGTCTAATACTGTTTTCTTTTGGCGTGTCTTTGTAAAACGCGATACCAAAGCTTGTAGAATAGTAGCTAAAAAAGTAGTCAAGATCTAAGTATCAAAGTCTTGTATAATTGGGGTAGGCATTTTAGTAAATTTAATTAAGTAAAAAAGGATAGAATTTCTTTAAGAATTTGTATTATAAATTTGATTTTTGAAGAAAATTTTTTAAGTTGAAAAGAGGGTGTGTTAGAATTTGTTTTCCAGGTGTAGGATAGAAGGGAGGGTTATTTTTAGATTATACAAGATCACATGACCCAAAAATAGAAATTTCCAATTTTATGTTATACAAAAAGTCATGTGATGTCATGTGATGTCATGTGTTGCACAAGTCAAAAAAGGAAATCTTATTATATGAATAAGAAGTACTAAAAAAGGCAGATATTAAAATTATGCAATATTAGTTAGTAATTAAGTAATTTTAGTGTAATTTAACAAATACCAATAATTTTAGAAGTGTTTAAGGCGTGAGTAGCACGATTGGGAACAATGTGAGTTGTACAAAAAATGTCTCTATGTGTTTGGAAAAAAAATTTTTTCCAAAGTAAAAGAGAAATAAAAAAAAACAAATAGAATAGAAGTTGTTTTACTTGTAACTTGGTCAATATTGAAGCTATGGAGATCTATTATAGCTTGTTTTGAAGAGGAGAGTGTAAAACAAACTTGTTCTAGGTTTGAACAGAGGTTAAGAAGCTAGTTTTAGTGTAAACAGCAAAAGAAGCCTATTTGGCCTAAAAGGCCGTTGCTTAATAAGTTTTGGGCTAGTTAAGTTAAAACTTTAACACTATACATAATTTTAAATAGAGAATAACTTTTATTAAGGCAAGTAGATAGGTTATCTTAATAAATTATTGTAAAAATAAATTTTTTAGTTATGCAAATTTAGATAAGTTTTTGTACAAGTAATGAATGGGCTATTATAAAATTATTATAAAGTACAATTTTAATAATTGTATTAATATTGTTAAGATGATCTTAACTTTATTGAAAAAAAATAGCTAGTTTCTGTAAAGTGGTTCTTTCTACCATTATTAAATTATACCATAAAAGTAATTGTCATTATTTATTTGTTTTGTGTATTTACGAATCTAGAAGGTGTTACAATAAACAATTAATGTTTCAACAAAAAAACAGAGGAGGCATGTATAATTTTATATAAAATTACCATTCGGGTTATTTTATACTGAAATATCATTTATTTATTTGTCATGGCTGTTTTTGATATATCGACCATTTCATTACTTCTACAAGAACCACTTACTTACTAACTCAAATTTTGTATTAACAGGACCAAGAACACCTTGAATATTCCAGATCCACTTGCTGTCCAACTTGTATCTTAAGCTTTTTGTTGATTTTAGTCAACTCTGAATTAGTATGTTGTTTATTAATCTAAGTATGAATTTTGCTAATTAACAAATATTATGTTTTTTATGCATATAAAAAGTAAAATTTTTAAGTATATATATACTTCATAAGCAATCTAGCATTTAAAAAAAATATGGGTTTAATTCCGTTTTGCTAAAGAGATTTTGGAGACAAATGTTCTCTAACATCAAATCTCAGGTGACACCTTAGTGTATATGGCCAGATTACCTTACAACCTCAACAGCCCTGAATTTTGGGAGGTTTAAAGATATATATACCAAGTATGACAAATTAAGGGTACCAAGATATTACTCAGAACACATAACGTGGTTGTATACTAACCATTAAAAATGGCCTTATATATTTCAACAAATACAAGTTACGTAACAGTAAATTTTAGATAAGAAAGACTTAATAATACCTTTTGGCCAGGTTTTTAGTCTCTAAGGTTGTATAATTTTTTGTTTGCATCCTTTGGGTTTACTAATTTTTCCTGCTACTTTACTATCGGAGTACTATAAAATTGATTAAATAGCACAGATATTCTGATATGTGAATAATTAGTAGAACTAATCAGAAGTGGCAGGGGAAATTAGTAAACTCGCATCCTTTAAAGGAAAAAAAGTAATATTTCATAAAAATAGAGTTAATTTACATTTTAATAAATTGATCAATGTACGTATTACAACTTATGAGATTTAGAATCGATCCAGTAATATTTCCTTCAAATAGACTAAAGGTGCTTCCAACATGTCAAAAGATATCAGTTCTTGATCTTGTCAAGCAGCAACGCGATCTGGATCCAGTAAAGTTTCATAAACTTGATCGGCTGAAGTTTGCAGTTCAACGGTTTCTGTAATTGTAGTGGTGTTTATGAATTTGGGTTTTGTAGAGCTGGTTGTAGTCATGGATCCAAAAGAAGTGGCAATAGGTTTTGGCGATTGAGAAGTTCCTGTGGGATCAATTAGAGTAGTGGAGTGAACGCTCCAAGTTGAGAAGATTCAATATAAATATCTTTACTATGATCCATACCAAAAATGCTTTTTTTCTTCACCAACTGGATTGCCTTTTTGAGTAACATTAACGTGACTATAATTGCTTTTTTGTTCAAATTCCAGAGTTTAACCATGGGAGAGACTTGGCTAATGTGAGGTCAAATTAGTTTAGGGTTACAAGTATAATTTTATGTGAATGAAGGTTTATTAAGGATTCGAATTTAATGATAGTTGGTTATTAAAAAATGTAGTTTAGTTGGTTTATTACTTCATTTATGCCTCAAGAAGAATTGTTCTAATAATTCTCATTCATTCTCTCTATTCTTTGTCAATTTAGTCATTGTATTTATACTTTCAAAATGGCTGTGATCCGAAACCAAAATCTATGATTTCAAACCAAGTTCTGTGGTCCCGGACCAAGATCCATGGTCTCAAACCCAGATCTGGGGTCTTGACTAGAGTTGCAGGTGAACCTAATCTTCAATAGTGCACCAGGTAAAACTGGTAAAACTGGTGCACCGATAGTGAAACTAGAATTATAGATGAAACTAATCTTCAATAATGTACCAGTTTCCTGATGAAATTAATTAGTTTCACCTGCAACTCTAGTTGAGACCCATACACAGCCACTTTTTAATAGAAGTATTAACAAAATACAAGACGTATATACATGGAAAATTTTACAACAGCAGCTGTTTTATATTACTATAATATTTATGTATTTGAAACCAATTTTAGTTTTTCTTATTTTATTTATTTATTATTTATTTTTTTGAGTTAGATATAAGAATCTAATTACTTTTAAGGCCAAATCCGATGTACAAATTTTAATTTATTTATTAATAAATACAACAATTACATTTTGTTAAAGATTGTCAATTAAACTATCTATTAGAATTATTCATTTGGCAAATTTTTGATAGTAAATGGGTCCTTTATATACCTTCAAGACACTATACTCTATTATCTATCACTACAGATTTTAATAATACTGTAATATTATATCTATTGCTTTGAATTTCAATTCCTTCAATATAGTAAATGCATGCGTATATTAAAAGTATAACCTAAATCAAAAAAATAAAAAAAAATAACTGAAGCCAAACTTAAAAACATATCAGTTGTACTTTTCTAGTAAATTTTTACATATACCCAATTGCTTAAAATAAAATTGTTTGCCATTTACATAATATACACTTTGTTGTTACATTCTCAAAACTGTATGAATACCTGTCTTGTACGATATAAATTGCAATTCTTCATGTCAACCTATCTAGTATATAAGTTGCTAAAATGTACATACTATTTGGTTAATTCTTTTAAAATAAGCTAATAAAGTTTTTTAAAGCATAATCTAGACAGTTTAAATAAACTTACAAAAACTTTTGTACTTACAGAATTATACAGGCTTATTCGTATATAAGATTTTTTTTTTGGCTTCTGTTATTTATAAGCTATGTCTATATTATTTTTTAATCAGAAAAAATATTTTTTAATCAAAAGAGCTGGCTTAAAAAACAATATACTAGTAAAGTTTTAAAGTAGATTATTACAGAACTTACTAGAAGTTTTATATTACTATTTTTTTTTACTTATTATTGATATATAAAATTTATTAATTTGATTGAATAATTTTGTTACAAATTTGGGGTACTGTGCAGATCAGCTTATATGATAAATAGTACTTTAAAAAATTGATCTACATTATTTGTCACACTGGGTATAGTGTCTAGATTTTATAATAGTTAATTGGATCAAAGATTAAGCTTGGTATGAGCTCATAGAGTCTATCATATATGGATTAATTTCAATACTTTTATGAATTAGTGAAGGCCTCAAATTTATTTACATTGAAGATAATATTCTAATAAATAAAAATCTTAATAAGAAGAATACTTTATCATCAATGAAAATCAATTTGGTTCATTGCAATGACAAGACAATAATCAAGATAATAAAGATTCTTTAATATAATCCAAAATTAGGCTCATTAAAATTTAAATTGGGCTTAGTAAAGCAACCAGGTAGGGTCAGGTGTTTCAGTAATCATTAGTTCTATAGTACTGGCACCTGTCGTTTAGAAATAGTTCTCATATGCTATTTGCCAACAGGCTTAGAGTTTATCACTTACCAACTATGTTAGTTAGCTAGCATCATTTGTACACATGAATTAATTACTAAAATAAATACCTGGCAAGATATGGCAAAGGTAAAAAAAAAATTTAAATTGAATAATCTTGGGGCTACAAGAATGTGAATATTGTTGAAAGGTCTTTTTGGGCTCAGCAATTTAGGTCTTAATAATAATCAAATTGGAGCTAAAGAAAGAAAGGTATTATCAAAAGTTCTTTGTAATAACACTACACTAATATTTTTAAATCTTTCTGGTCTAGACAATTATAAATTATCTTCCAACAGTATTGGTTCAGAAGAAAGAAAAGCATTAGCAGATGCACTTTGTAAAAAAAATACCACCTTAATCTTTTTGAATATCATCTCTAATTATCTTGGATTAGAAGGCAGAATAGCATTTGCAAATACATTTTGCATTAACACCACATAGTGTTTGCATGTTTGGTTTGAGTCTGATCAAACCTAGACTCAAACTCTAAATTTTGTAGATCTTCGAACTCAAACTGGAACCAAACTTTATTATTTGAACTCAAACCAAACTCAAACACAACTAATAGTTTGGTTCGAGTTCAGTTTGTAAGTTCACAAACTAGTTCGAGTTTGATAGAGATGTGCTCCATTATTCATTTTTCTATTTAAAGCTAAAGATTTTTTATAATAATTTTGTTATATAATTAAATTAGAGGATATCCCGAATTGCATCTTTAACTCTAAACAAATATTTAACCCTGTACTAAATTATAGAACTAGTTTGAAAAATTTTTGTATTAAATAACTAAAATTTTTATACAGAGTATTTTTAAATAATTTAAATGATATAATTTATTTTATATATAAAAAAAGATTTAACAAAAGAATAATAAAAAGCAAAATAAATATTAAATATTATTTGGAACATCTATGCCAGCAGATTTACTAAGATTTAGTTTTGATAAACTTTTACTAATTTCCAAAGTGTTAAATGGTTTGCTAATATATATATTTTTAGCTCTTCTTTAATTATTGTATAATTTTTGTTAATCTTACCACTTTTTAAAAACTGATTTTTGATTTCATTTTCAGAATTTTCATTTAAAATTTCCAACCATTTATTTAATTTAGTAATAATTTTATTAGTAGTTGGCCATTTTTTTGGATTGGAATCCATGCATCGATTTGCTAATTCAATATAATAATTAGGAGTTCCAATTCTAAAATTTGGTTGCAATCTTTAACAAATCATAATCTCAAGATTTTTATCAAATTTGTGACTATTAAAAGGTCTCTGTCCAGTTGTCATTTCTACCATAATGACTCCAAATGAATAAATATCTATTGCTTGAGTATATGCTTTTATTTGAAAAAGTTTAGGTGCGATGTAAGGCAAGACACCATAAATATGATCTTCATGTTCTTTCTAATCAAGTGGCTTTGATAAACCTAGATTGATAATATATGCTTCATAATCTTCTTTTAACAAGATATTTCCCAGATGTAAATCTCGATGTAAATATCTTTTATCATAAATAAGATCAAGATTAGTTATAATATTATGAAGTATCTTTAATTTATTTTTCCATTTAAACTTAAAGATATCAACAAGATTTTTGCTTAATGATTCATATTTTGTGTAACTTATTACCAAAATATAATTGTCTGTTTTTTCATCTCATGATATTCCTAGATATTGTCCTAAGCTATGACAAGCTTTTAACTAAATAAAAAACTAAAATAAATTATTACATCAAACTATTCAAATTATTTAAATAAAGATAAATAATAAAAAATATCTCATTTATGATTGGAACTTTATTCTTATTAGAATCTTTTACAATTTTGAGTGCTACATCTTTATATGACCCAGATTGATTTAAATATTTGGTTTCAAACTGTAGAAAATGCTCCTTTATCTATTTCTTTGATATTTTCAAATTTATCATATACTATCCAAAGAAAAAATTCTTTTTTTCTATTAACAGCATCAGCAAAAATAAATAGGCGTAAACCTCCGCAAGTTTTTACGTGAGCGTAAACTTACGAAAATTTACGATTAGTTCGGAGTATTACGTAGGTGTAATAATTACGAAAGTTTACGCTATA